GCAGAGGCGGAAAGGAAACAAAGGGAGAACCCAGAGGTGGATATCTACAAGCTACTGGTTTCCAGTGTTCCCTACACAACACTGATCTGCTATGCAGAGATCACAGATAAGCTCTGTGATTGTTCATATCACACTGTTACATTACAAGTACAACCAACCCAATGAAAACAGGAATAAACAAAGGCTCAAGTTCAACAATAAAATGCCCATCATTTGGAAAGCACAGTGCATACACCTACACAATGTAATAAATATTCTCCTGTTATTTATGCAGCCTGTAGCTGAAGAAATTACTTGTTAGAGCAAAGCAAGTCATTGTCCAGCCAGACGCATCAGTTTTCAGCAAACACAAGTTCCAAAATATAATTTAGGTTTGTCAATGCAGTCCAGATGAATACGCAACTATCACAACACGAGGTGGTCCTGACACTGGAGGAGCCGCTTTCCTTCCAACACACTGTAGCAGCACATAAGAGCCTCGGCTGACGCGTGATGCCTCACAGAAACAACAGTCGTTTTAAGAGAGAAACACAGTGGGCTTTGTCAAAGAAAGGTAGATCATATGACAGCTTTGTCTCTGGTTCTCGCTCCCTCCATCCATCCATCCATCTTCCACCTCCAGGGCTGCTGTCTGTCTGCACATGCAGAATGACGCCCTGTGTGTTCACATCGACATAGTGGAAGGAAACAACAAACCTAGGCCAGTTCTGGACAAATATTGTTTAAAATAATAAGAATTAGTGGAGCACACAACATGCGTTTACCTCTGGATCACAGATTGGAAGAAGTAAACTGAGATGCTAGTATTTTCTGCCTCTCCACTCCAGTAGAGAGCACAGATGTGTATCATGTTTAGTAACACGTTGCCTTCATATTTGTTTCATGACATTTGTGTTTTTTGGGGTGTTTTTTGTAGGACGTGTTACCAAAAATGTGCAACACACAAAGTTTGCTCATGCTGACAAATAAGTATTTCAAAATACCTTTGCATGACAACATGAGAGCCCTTCAAAACAGCAAAAGCTTTCATTATGCCTAATTAAGCTTTTATTCTGAAACTCCAGCTGCCAGCAGGTTAGTTGTGGGCAAACTTCAAATCTCCAAGTCATTGAAGTGATGTTATGTAGTGAATCAGTCCTTAATAACATCAAGTGCTGGTTGGTTTAGGACTTCAAGACTAAAATGCCCCAAAACACAAGTCTGTGTCCGAGTCATGATAAAAAAAAAACATCTATCAAATTGATATTTTAATCAAACATAATCTCTGAGGCTGACATGACAGACATAGCTTCCTATATGGAGAACAAATTCCCAACAGCAATTCAACATATCATTCTCTCTCTGAGTTTATTAAAGGTTTATCTTCTACCAGCAGCCAAGCTTTGGCTGATTTATCTGCTCTTATTATCAACTACTTGAATATCAAAACTTTTGATATTCCTGTTTCTGATCAAATTCCCAGGCAAGAGAAACTTCCACAGTCGACCAAGGTTCTCCATGACTCCTTGAACTCTGTAATCCATTTAACGTGTGACAGCCTGTTCAAAAAGAAATGATAATTCTCTGCTAAGCAGCTTGCGAGGCTCTGATCAAACCCAAGGCAGTGCTTTGAGTTCTGCACATCCTCATGCAGCCTTTATACACACTACGTTAGAATTCCTGTAAATTTCTCCCATTTCAAGAAGGTCTGTGTGGATTCTCAGTCATCCAGGTCATGGAAGTCCAGTCTTGCTTCTTCTCTTTTCTTGAAGACATTTCACCTCTCATCCAGGAGGCTTCTATGGTTCTAAAGAACCAAAGAACTGAACTAAACTAAAGAAGCGTCTTGGATGAAGCACCTTCAAGAACCTGAACTAGAACTTCAGCTGTGTTTTTACAGAAGCTATAAACCTTTCCAAGTGAGATTAAAGCTGTTTCTCTGGCTGGAAGAACAACCGCCATTAGAGCTTTCTAAAAAGAGGGGAAACACTTTTCTTGACATAAGAAAATGACAAACACTGCTGAGATCATTGCAGAATGTCAGCAGGTTAATTCTAAGTCAACTAAGAGTAATAACAATAACTTCACCTAGAAGATCAGAACTGGCCTGCAAGATTAAAATGGCATCAATAAAACAAATACATTGCTTGAAAATGAATAACAGCACAGTTCAAAGTAGAAAATGGGTCATGAACTGATCCATCACCAGTGGAAGAACATACCAAACATTTGCTGGCTCCAGCCTGGCAAAAAATGCTAATTCCTCTCTTATATAAACATAAATGTGATAACTTTGAGTTGTTATTCAGTAGAAGCTGTCGTGGGCTCTCGGAAATAAAACTTAATGGGCATGTTTCAGTACTTAATTTAATTTAATAAACCTAACAGTTAAACACAGCGACCTGCTCCTGCCGTTGCTTTGATCGCGGCCCGTGTGGCTCAGTTTGTGAATCAAAGTGGCTTAAATGGATGGACGGGTTATGTGCAAATTTCTAATGGGCTCCAAACCTAATCGTACTGCATCATGGAGCACTCCAACCAAAATGGTACCAACTTTTCGATGCCCAAAGGCCAGCCCATTCAATAAGGGACACGTGGCGTCCTGAAAGCACCATGTCGTGCTCTAAATTGAGGCGTTAATTCGTGGCAGTCATCCGTCCCTGGAGGCTTCTTCTATCTGCTCCGTCACAGGCTCACAGCTGCCTCTCTGGGCTTTTCTTTGGTGGGAGTGAGGATTTTTTATTTTTTTGTCCGATATTGGAGATTCTAATGAAGCCCACTAATCTCCATCACACTGTCTGTGAATTCATAACAGAACGAGCACATTAGACATGCTCCGGCTTCAATCACCGAGACAGACGGCCTCTCAGCACGAGTCGCCTTTATCCCCATCGAGGAGCGTCAGTCGACCCTCTCAATCTCCTTCATGTCACTTTTTCAACTCCGTTAGAGGAGCATCTGGCTCTACGATTATGCATCTCATTAAAAAGGTGACCCCTAACACACCCTAATACACATTTCCATTTGTTTTCAGTGATCTCAACGCGGCCTTGATGGGGATATTGAAGCCATATTAACAATTTTAAACAACTATAATACAAAGCACTCCATTTAATGCCTCCACAAAGGGCATGCAGAATGTAAGTGGCCTACACTCTCTTAGCTTACAAGAGGAAATGACATCTCTGATCAATAAAAAACAGGTCTCCCACCATGCTGGCTCAGTGCAACCAGAGATCTGCACATTTTCACTTCAGCTAATGAAGGCGGATACTTTCCTGGAGCACAATATGCCACACTTCATGATTTCAGCGTCAGGCCTCGTAACATTTGCATATCACTGTCAACACAGAACAAGTTGTGTGAAGTGATTTGGTGACATTTTTATATATATTTGCATTAAGTTTGGTCTAAAAACATTACTGAACATTACAGAGAGTGGAACAGATACAAAACTTTTCCCATTCATTTTGTTCCACAATTTCACATCTATTTCCAACTGAAATGTCCATAAAAGCAAAACTTTAATGACAAATATCACAGATGCTGTCACTTTAACAGACTGATGGCGCAGCAATGTTGCATAAATGTGTCAGAAAAGTGACAAAAAAAATGTCAAATGAAACGACATGAAAGTCTATATACAGTAGAAACTTAATGTTGGCAACAAACCAGCAGCAGTCCTTATCATAAGGAAATGTACTTGTATGTATTTGAAGATATTTTAGTTTAAGAAACTGAAGTCAAAAAGAGTGAATGTGTTGATACAGCTAGAATATATCTAATAATTAATGCCCTGAAATCTAATATCACTGGCTGATCATGGATTACTCAAAAATTATTTGAAATCAAGCTGGTCAGAAAGAAGTAAAAGAACTATTTAAAAAAAAAAAAGAAAGAAAGAAAGAAGGAGGTTCTTGTACAGTTTCTGAGAAAATCCATTTATATGAAATGGTTGGCTGTTGGCTGAAAAGAGGCAACCCATTTAGGAGACACTCTCCGGCGTGAATGGGTCAATTGTAATGCATATTAGCATGTGTCAGAGAAGGGGGCCGCGTTCCGTAGTTGCAGTTTCTTTCATGCACAGGCTGAAAACAAAGAGCAACACAAAGGAGTCGCCCTCATGAACACAGGATGTTGTCTGCAGCTCCGTATCAGTGTGCAAGGACAACACGGCTGGAAAAACAAAATGCACACACCACTCTCGCATATATCCAGCCGCACTGATGTATCTCTGCTTTTCGCTGAGTTTTGCTGAGAGATGAGGAGGTTTACCAGAGGCCAGTGAGGCTTCTTCAGGACATTAGAAAGGTACAGATTTTTATAGAAAGTCACAGAACAAAAATCTGTCCTGGTCAACTGGTCATCCTGAGAGCTTCAGTAAAAAGCAGCTGGACTTGGTTCTTGAACATGTTCCACCTCTTAGCTGAAGAAGCCTCTTGGAGAAGCTCTTCAAGAACCAAAAAAAGAAGTCGAGTTGCTTTTTTTCTCTGAAGCTCACAAGTCAAGTGGTGTCACCCGAGGTTTAAAAATAACTGCATTGTGTGATGCTGAAGGCTACAGTGGTCCTGATCTTTACGTAATGTCACCAAACTACAACATGTTGCAAAGATTTTTGTGTTATTCTCAAAGGGCTTAACTGTATTGAGGTTTTTTTCTCATTTTATAATGCTTTAAGGGATTGTACAAGATTCTAAAACAGTATATTTTACTCTATTAGACCACATTTCATTCATTTACATGGTCTCTTATTGAATTTCTGTGATATTCTGCTGCCATCATAGCCTCTCAGTGGCACAGCCAGGCTTGTAGTTGGGCTTCATGATGATGTTTGGTTGGACTGTTGATGCCACAGTGAAATGATTAATCCCTATAATGGTTCCATCCTCCTCTAAACGCTGCACTCCCTTTTAAAACTAATACCAGGATTAGTAAATAACTTTACCACCCTGTCTGCTCAATTCTCAGAGCAAAATGCCACGTTGACAACCTGATAAAGTGTTTTGTTTTGTTGTTTTTACCGTCGACGTTCTCCCTGTCGCTGATGTGCTGCAGGTTGCATCCTGTCTCCTCCCTACTCAGATCCGACTCCTGGTGGTACGACTCCAGCCTCGAGTGGGCATTTCTGCGGAGCTTGGGGCTGGCAGACACGCAGCAAGAGGTCGTGCTCCCCATCTTTCACCCCCTCTAACAACCCCTGAAAGGCTGGTTGGGGTTGCTGCAAAAAAACAAAAACAACAACTGGCGGTCCTATCCGCTCAAACAGGAGCCGAAACGCGCCGGTCAGCAGAGATCACCAGAGCGCAGAGGCAGCATCCTCCCAGCGGCGTCCACGGATCCTGTCAGTCGTCCACGGAGGATACGTCGCTTCCACACAGCCGGTGGAGGCTATAAAACGGGCAGATGTGCCACCGCTATCCCGGGCATCGTAGAGCAGGATGCATCCTGGAGGCGGCGGCGGCGCACGGTGCTGTGTGGAGCGGTGAGTGTCAGCGACGCACCGACAGGGAGGGCTGCAAATCCCCACAAACGGTTCCGGTTCAAGTGGGTGGTTACAAATGAGAGAGCAGGATGACAGAAATGATCTGGTGATTTATTATCATTAATGGTGTTTATTTATAACGCTTATAAAGCAACATTCATCATAGTTTGTGTATTAATCTGAGTTTAGATGAAAAGATTGCATCTAAAATTGCGCATAATTAAAAAAAAAAAAAAAAAAAAAATGAAAACAACGACGGTGTGTCCATTTTGGGAAGTAAATGCGCTCATAGGAAATAAAAGATGACAAATTTTGCACACATCAAATTTAATTCTTTTCCTTTGAAAAATTAAAAACGTGTTTCTGTTTGTTTATTTTGGAGGGAAATGTGCGTAAAGAGATGGTTTGGTCACGTGACATTCTGGCCAAAACAAAACAGATTTTCGTTTATTCGATTACAAATGATTGGATTTTGTAGTTTACAGAAGTTATTTATTTACAGCACAGATGCCAAACAGCTCAGAAAATGAAAAAAATGCAGAATTCAGTCTTCTGGAGCCACATGTAGAAACAAATCCCAGGTTTGGGGTTAAAACCTGTAAAATATTTCAGTTTGCTGAAGCACTGAGCTCGAGTAAACAAACAGCACAAAAAATAGTTTAAAGGGTTGGATACAGTAAAAATAGGCCCATCTGCTGGCCAGTCCACAGTGATGCACCTGTATGGCTTTATCTATGAAGACATTAAAATAATAACTTAAAATAGAAATCCTATTGCTTGTGATTTTTGATATTTTGCTCAGTAATTAAAAAAAAAACAAAACGTGAATTTAAAATTAATTCTGGGGCTCTTCTTTTAAATAATAGAGCACATTGACAACAACAAAAATCTCATCTTAAACACCAGTGTGGAATATTTCCAGTATATATGTGATGTAGGCTTCATAATCAACTTGCTCTTTACATATTTAAATAAATACATGCTTGAATCTACAACAAATGAATCTACACAATTAGAAACGTTTTTCCACCAGGGGGCAGATCAGGCCCAAATTATCCATAAATACAACTAAACATGGTGAAATGTGAGGATGGTCAAATCATAGCAGATCCATTTTCATCATTTCAGTTCAAGGTCTGCAGTTTTCTTCACTTATAATTTAGAATTATTACCAACATTCACCTGTCGAGTTACATCTTGTGGACACAGGTTCTGTTTCTGGACACGTTTGCCCTCACCAGTCTGGCCAGTGTTTATTGTTGTTTGTTGGTTCTCTCTCCAGGCAGACAGCCACCACACCTGTGCCTGGTTCTGCTGGAGGTTTCTTGCTTTTAAAAGGGAGCGTTTTCTTCCCACTGTTGCCAAAGAACTTGCACAAAGGAACTGTTTGGATTTGTTGGGTTTCTCTCTACAACATAACAGTGTGAGGTCCTGACCTCGTTGTGTGAAGGGCCCTGAAGTGTTTTGAATTTGCGCTCTATAAATCAAATGCCAGAGGATGTGCAACACCAGCTTTTAAAAGTGGCACAGGACAGTCATGCTGTATGCAAAATATCTACCATTACACAGGGTTCAAGCACACGATGTCATATGAGGGTATCTCAATGTCTATGTCATCTTAGATCATCCAAATACAAGGATGTTATAGTATTTATCCCTGAAGACGACACTCGAGTGGCTACATCAATGCTTTTCTAATTTCTCTCCAACAACTGTATGATTTTGACTTATCTGTGTTGTTTAAATGCAATGAATCCAACAAACAGGAATCAGCCACACACTGTAGGACTCAACTCAGAGGAAACTACAGTGGACTCAGTTCCACACAATGATTTAAGGTGTGATTTTTAAATGTAGCCCCAGATTCTTTTAGAAAGATCATTTTTTTGAAGCATGCTGAGGCCTTATTCTGGTACATGACAGAGAGCAACATTGTGCTTTGACAGTAATCTGGGTCAGGAGCCACTGGGACAGTTTCCCTGTAAGAGGAACAGCCTAAACAGCAGCTAGTCAGACGCACAAAATGTAACATGATGTCTAAAGAGTCTCGTGTTTTCTTATTGTCGGTGAACTGAGTTCATCATTCACTGACTTCACTGACATATTTCACTCTGGTGCAGCATCAACATGTTCAAACCTGTGCATTATGACTATTTTGTACATTTAAAAAACTCTGTACTATAATCATTTCTTCTACAAGAAGCTGTGTAATGTCACTATTTTCTACTTATGAGTGTTTCTTACACCAGTAGTTTTACTCACAGAACAATCTGTGCAGTGTCAGTGCTTGTCAGT